CAGCCAGCAATCATAAGACGAGGCGAAGAGGATGAGGACGACATCTTCATAATTGAGTGGATTAAACCTTTAATTGAAAGTGGAGATATCCAGAATATCATTGATCCAAGGTTACAAGATGAAATCAACATCAATGTAGCATATGGAGAGTAGTGGAGATAGCAATGTCCTGTGTGTTTCCATTACGAACCCAGAGACCGGACATGATTCGTGTACTAGCAAGACTTAAAGAGTGTTTGGATATAGAGATGTGTTGAGAAGCTCAAGATTGGGCCAAAATGAAAGGAGATCAAGAAGATCGATGCATAAAAAAACATGCAGTGGAACATCCAAATCTATGTATATATATAAAAGGAGAGATATTTATATATAAGTTTTGTATTATTATATTTATATATATAAAATTTTAATCATTTATTTATTTTTTATTGGTTGAAATTTATAATAATTTTTTTAGTGAGAAAAATAATTATTTTTAATAAATGTAAATAAATTTTAATCATTGCAAATGAAAAGATGAATGGTTTAGATTTTATATAAATATAAAGTATAAGACTTGTATGCAAGTAGATTTTTATTATATATATACATATATATATATATGAATCTTATTTTACAATTTAGATTACACTAAATTATAAAATAAAAATTATTGAATGAGGAAGAGGCCTAATATCAAAAAAATCCTTTATTATTCCGTGATTTGTGTAGTCTAATCTTAATAAAGTTCATATTGCACTCTACCTTTTTCTATATATATAAGATGACTGGCAATTTCCTACCCCTTCCCATATCTCTCCATTTTAACCTCCGTATCTCATGGCACAGTACTTCAAAGTCATCTGGTCTAATTATTTCAACATCTGCGTCTCTTTCAATATTTGTTTAGAAAGAGTCTTGTATATTTGAGATTATCATTTCTTTTTTTATAAAGTTGTTAATTTTCTGATTTTTTTTTTCCGTAATAAAACTTGTTATCCCAGGGATTGGAGCCGAGGAAAAAGAAGGTTCCTATTGATGTGAAAGAATTGGTTTGGAATGGTGAACTTGTGGTGCCACAGATCTACTCATTTGGCCATGCCTTTAGGTATATAGCTCTTTTACTTCCTCAACATGTTTTGCCAAATAAAAACAGAAGTACGTAAAAAAATGGCTGGTTGATGCATAAATTCTATGGTTGATTTTTAAAATATTAATTATGAATTTAGTTTTTAAGCAGGTCTTTAAAATAAAAAAAAAATTAGGAGGAT